GAGCCTCCATTGATCCGCCCCCCAGTGACGAACTATGACTCTCGAATTTCTTATTTAAGGACGATTTTCTAAGGTAATGTGAAGTCGCTGGAAATCTAAGTATTATCAGAGCAAAGGAGGTGGTGTGAAGTTACCAGATATATGCGTTTTTGAGTGTCTAGGCGTCTTTTTTGTCCGAATAATGAAGCGTAATGTAATGTTTACGCCCCTCTGACAGCTCGAATCATCGTGTGTTATTGGGAGTTTTTATTATTATTATTGTTATTTTCTCGTAGGATGTGAGTTAAATGCATCAGGATAGAGATTAAGAGAGCCAGTAGGTTTTCCGTAGTGATTTTATAGGGGATAATGCGATAAAGTAAATATTTAACGAGTGTCAAGTGTCGACGTTCCTTTCAATTTCCATTTAGTCTGATCTTTGGGTGTCTAGTGATCCTCCTGGTGTGTCTGTATGAGGTTTGAGGGTCGCGGATGCAAGCGATTTTAGGCTTTGTGGATTGCATTTGATGTATATTGTCTAGATGTAGTGGTTTTAATCTACTGGGTTATGAATAAAGGGACAGTGTTGACAGTAGTAGTGTAGTAATTATTGTGGCCTTTCACCGATCGGTGTTATTGGGGAAAGGGTGATGTTTTCATTTCATACAGCTATCTAACCGTGCAGTTATTACTTCTTGTTTCAGTTATTCAATGTAATATGTGTAAAGTTGTCGTTGTTTTTCATACCCCCACCTTGTTGCCGTGGATAGTCTCCGTGTGAGATTTGTTTGTGACCTATTTTCTTAATACCTTTTCCCTATCTTTGTGCAAGCCTTATTGAAATTTATACTAAAGTATTACATTTTCCCGACTGTCTTATTAGCAACTTGTGAAGGAAATACCATGGATGAAAATTGTCCTTGTCTGACCATTATGGGCAAATTTTCCTTGTATCATATAGCTATGTGGGTATTTGTTAATGAGAGCGACACGCCCTCCAGAGATGGTCTAAAATCCAGGGGATCATGCAAATCCAAAAATTCAAACCAAACCTTTCCTACTTACTATTTATTCCCCAGACAGCTAGCTGCCCCACTGTAACCCCTCTTTATTAACACTTCGTGCCAACTTATAAAAAAATGTGACATTAAGAACTCAACTACATATATTGCAAGTGTGTTTGTTAACGTCCCATATAATTATTTAGACCCTATTACTCGAACCAACAAGTTTAGGGCACTACTGGGAGTCTGCAAACATCACAATATGAATATCCATTTGATTATTGTATTTCCCTAGCCAGGATCTCTGGTATATGATTGAAATAGAGATAAACGTTAAGGTAAATGTCCAGAATACTTTTGCCTGATTGATCACAATGATAGTGGTATTGGTGGTTTTCTCCAACACTCGACTACCCATATATTCTTGGCCCTGATAGCAGGAGAGGGTATGAAAGGTACCAGGGAAATTGCACTACTATAATAATAATAAACACAGAATATGTCTGTACATTGTCTAATTCAGAGAGCTAGGTTAATTTTTCCTGCATGGATGTACTGCACTAGGGCAAATTGAAGATATTTTTGTAGAGGACTAAAAGTTACAGTTGTTGATAAAAAGAGTAATCTGCAAATGCAAGTGGTAATACCAGGAAAAAAGAACCATGCTGCTCACAGCTAAGTCCACTTAGTGCACCAGAGTTTCAGCACTTATTTTGCTGTGCATACCCTGGTGAAGACAATTTTTGTTAGGGGGCAGACCTCCCCCATCAACCCTCCAATCTCTGGCAAGTACATCCTTACTGTAAAGAATAACTGAGGGCTATTCATGGTAGGATAGAGCTACAACCGACATGATGGAACACCTGATTTCAAGTCTGGCCTGCGCTCTGTTTTGCAATTCATGCGTTGTGGATTATCCAGGGCATGGGTTGTGAGGGCAGCAGCATCCTATGGGGGTGTTGCAGCGCACAGCCCCCTGAAATTAACTTAGTGACCAGTTTTCTCTATATTCATATTTTACCCACAATTTTCCTACTGCCATTTATTCCCTTCTCTGTTATCAGGGTCATGATTGTTAGTACTGGGTGGTTTCTGCAGCATAATTTCTACATATATGTGTGTAGAGGAGAGTGAGAGGAATCCATCAATACCATAATCGTCATTATTGGTCATGTGAAGGTGTTCTAAATATTTACCTACATTAAAAGAGCAGTGCTCTTTTATGAGAGTGACTGTTATTAATTGTAATGTTAAGACCTACATACATACCTACCTACCTATTTCATTCATTTCTGATATTCTTTGCCAACGCAGATTTCATATATTAGTGAGTTTAGTTTTATGTTTATGTAGTGTGTGAGGGTCATTCAATTTTCCTTATTGTAGTCCAGTCATTATGTGATTTTATAACTTTTTTTTGTCAACTAAGAAACCTGACCAAGCTTTGTCTTATCATTGTATACCTAGCAGTGTTTCTATGCATTTGTTATAGTGCTGTAGGTGTGACAGCAAAGGCATTTACTCGATGATGTGCCACTGTCACAGTGGCATATCATACCCTTTTAGCTCTTATGGAACCCTAACCAAATGACCATGGAGATATTTACTGTCCTCTGTAGTTTTTTGTGGATTTTGTTTCATACAGATGGCTCCACATGTGCCCACTCACAAGGAGATTATCAGTTGGCCCTAGTGACTGTGCCAGATTTCCCATTCCTTGAATTTGCAGAAAAATGTGCTTTTCTTTCTAATACAATTAATATTGATAGTGTTATTATTCTTATTAATATTAAGAATATTAAATTGTTATTAAGATATTAATAATATTAAAGATACTAAAATAATACAAATGAAGCTTTCAAAAGATCAAGGAATAGGGTAAACAGGTGAGATAGATAGGACTAATAACTGACTCCTTGGTGAGTAAGCACTTGTAGAGTCATCTTAGTGTAAAGACAATAGATAAACTTACATTACGGTGAGCATGGCATATATTTTTGCCATCTGCACGAATTGGGTTAATATAAGGCCCCAGTAGGGAATGGAAGCCCATAGAAATCTTGGTGATTTCATGTTTGTTATGACTTATCTAACAAGATTCAGTGATAAGAATGAAACCAACGTTCTTTTTCTGTTCAAACTTTGTTTACAGATTGCAACCCCAACCCCCCCTATTCAGCAGGCCTGGGAAGCCCATGGGAAATTGTGGTAGGCAGGAAGTCAGGGTGGGGAGGAAGAGACTGTGTAAACCATATTTAATTTCTTTCAATTTTTTAAAGAATATAATTATATGAAGATTTTACAAATCTGCCTTGCACACCATGCACATAGTGTTGGCAGATAATAAACATCCTCTGCATCTTTTCAGTGATGAGGATAGAGCTTGGATTAGTTCTATATTTGTTGATAAACTCTGGTTGTACCATTGATGTATGTCCTACATTGTCATTGTATACCTTGTACCAGAACCAGAAAGGCAATTATACATTTTCATGATGGGTCTAAATTCCCTCAATTACTATAAGAAGCCTGAACAATAAGCAACAGGAAATCATTCTTACTGACAATCAGTCTGTTGATTTATCACTTTGTACAATGGTATATGTACTATCTAGTGTGAATTTTGTTGCACACAGATGACTACACAAATTCTTAGCCACCAAGGAGTCAGTTGGTAGCCCAATGTGATCTCATCTGATTGATTGTATAAACACAATTTATACAATAATCACACTTTGCCTTGACTGGGTACAGTCTGAGGAGCTATGTCCACCAACACCCCCTGCCATACATTATCTTCACCTTGGTTTGTAAGGCAAGATAGAGCTATCACTCCAGAGCACAGAGTGGACTTAGACTGTAAGCAGCACTTGCCATGGTATTTTTCCTTTATTTGTGGTATTACTGTTTGTGTCCTGATTATTTTTTGTACTGACATCTATAACTTTTTGTCCTCTACAAGAATATCTTTGTCAGTTTGGTTCATCCATACCATAAAGATTAACCATTTTATATTGTTATTATATTTGACATTATGATGATTATAATAGTAAAATACTAATATCAGTAAAAAAAAAAAAAATCCTTGGTGACTAGGGGTATGTGGAGCCATCAGTAAATCAGTACTCTAAAATCCCAGCCTATATGTAATGTATATCATATCTTCCCAGTACAAAAGGTAAAGGGTAGTGTTTGCAAGTTATCATGTATAGCCAAATTGAATGTCCAGGATTTGCTTTCACTGATTGATGGCTCTTTGATAAACAAGGGCACATCAATTTAAACTGAAATGCATCAGTTTATTGTCTACTAGTGAAGGATTAATGTTAAAGGTGCTGCCTTTAGTATCATGATTTTATATCAGTTGACTTTATTTTCAGTTTGTGCAGGAAATGTCTTATATGAAAAGTATCTTCATTTTCATTAATTTATTGACTCCTTATATAGGTACTATCCATCATGAGTCATTGTTTTATACAAGAACTTACTGAAATCTCATCAGCAGTACTTTAATACAAAAGCTGTTAATAAGAACAACACAGAAGTCTGCAAATTGCACCTTAACCCTATGAATATATATATATATATATATTGTAACCTCAGGTTCATGAATATTTGATCAGCCTTGGGTGAATAAGTATGTTGATTTTTTATAACTGAATACATCAGATTTCAATGTTAATAGAATTTTTCTTCAATGTATTGAAAAACATAAGCCTAATATTATAAAGACAAGATGCATTGAACAGAGAGTAATTTGGACTTACTTTATAAAAGCTATAGATATTGAAAATATCTGTTTTATTAAATATAAGTATTAAAAATATTTGATATCTGTAAGCAATTCATGATTTTGTAAGTTATTTATTAGCTGCTGCTGCTTGAGATGATTGACAGTACCACCCACCATAAAGCTGTTCTCCAAAATGTTTAATATCTCCCTACATGCAGTCTATTTATGGTTTTATCAATTACATAATAATGAGGATATATCTATCTTATGCAGACTGTTGTTTCCTGCAGATTGTGCTCCTTTGTTAGGCTCCACTGTTTATTTTAGGGGGTGCTTCTTTGCCACCTGATTCTTTTTGTTTACTGCATGTAGGCCATATAGTCAACATTTTAGGTTTAGGAGCCTTGTAGTATGCTGGGTACATGCACTGTCCTCTGCAGCTTTGTTCTGTAAATTGTTTACACATAAGTGGCTTCACAATTGCTTAGTCACCAAGGTATCTGTTACTAGGCCTCCCTGAGCTTAGTTGGTTAACTTATTCCTTTAATTTTCACAAAAAAAAAACAACAAAAAAGTGTATTTGTTGTACTGTTATTATTATTAAGGATATTGTAATTTTATGAACAACAAGGTTATTATGATTTTTAAAATGGTGATAGTAGGTATAAAGATATAAAGTTGTCTTTCCAAAAAGTAATGGGCTAAATAGATGAGACCAATCAGTCACAGTAATAAACTCCTTTGAAATGAAGCTAAAAAGGGGTTTAATGCTACTTTTGTCGGGCTGTATCTCATGTTTTCTATATAATGGAATTTTAATACTTTTAATAATAATTAATAATTAAATTTGATAATAATAGTATCAGTTGCTGTACGGAGCACTAGTTGAAATTTCATAAAGATTTGCACTTCTTATCCAACATCCTCACTCAAGTGCTAATGCATATTTAATTAACTTGTATTTTCTCACATTTTAACCTTATCACAGACAAAATAACATTAGATTATAAACCTGGACACATTTATTTGAATGTATGGATAGTGATCAAAACATGTAACTGCATTAAATTGTCAACCACCAAAACTAAAAACAAACTTTCTTTTAAGGAAGTTTCAAGATCCTGAAAGGAAATGCATAGCCATACATCTTAAAAAGTTATAGTTACTGGATTTCTTTAAGAATATATCCATTATTCATTTTGCAGGCATCAGGCTAAGCATCAGGGGTAGTCTAAATAACCTATATCTCCAAATATATACTGAGCTACATTCCATGGTTTAGCGTAAAATGAGGAAATTTCCTGAACATTCAATGAAATAATATTTAATCCATTGATGTCAGGCAACATGTTTTCATGTCATGGCAAAAATTTAATTGGTAAGTGGCATCTCCTCACATCATGAGCTGGATTCTTGGGGACTGATGCCACGGGAGCCTGGCCATGGGCTTGATTCTTAGGGACTGATGCCACGGGAGCCTGGCCATGAGCTAGACAATATCCCAGACATGGAACAGCTTTGCCAAATTTAATTAAAAATTTTGTGCTTTGATTTTGATAGGGGGTTAAGATTTTAAATGACTTAAGATTTTGTCTTTGAAGAGGGAGTGTATTCTTGAAGGATTGCACTGTCATTTATTTGTTATATTTATTTACTTTTTTATTTATGATCATTAAACAGTAATCTGATATTTACAGAGGGACTTACTTTTAAAATATTGCCAGTTGCCTTGTGACTTCCAATTTTGGGGTAACAGTCATAGGCCAGCATAAGGCTATTTGAGTACTGGGCAATTCGAAATCCTTTGGCTGCCTTTTATATTCCCTGAACTCTGTCAAGAGAATTTTGAATAGGTGTAGAATATTTCCTTCAGGTTTCATTATATACACATTGATATTTTATTTCCTTCACATATATTTTACATGTACTTGTACAATTTTTAGAGCTGATTTAACCCGATAGATCTGGGTGATGTGACCGTCATGTCATGAAAAAATTTGACTGAGGACTGGATGACAGGAATATACCATCAGAGAAAATTTTGGCTTGGGACCAGGGTAACGGGAATGTGCCTTCATGAAATATTCGGCTGAAGGCTGGGGTGATGTGAATGGCTCATCATGAGTGTAGAACACACTTGCAGGAGGATTAAGCTCAGAGGACATTTAGAAAGGGGTTCCTGCATTGTTTCTGCTAGTAAAAGAGGGTGGAATGGACTGTCTGTGATGGCTGGAAGAGTGCTGGCTTGAGAGTGTACTATTTCCATACAATTCACACAATGGGAAGAGGTGCCACTCAGTTAAGCCGAATGCCTGGATTTTGAGAAAAGTGTGGGTAGTGGGTCACCTAGATCAACAGGTTACGAGACTGACTGTCAACAAAAACTGTTTTTATTCCTTTTGTAGTTAGAAGACGGGGATTTTTACCCTTTTTCTCCTCTCAAGAGACTCCTGAGTACCAATTTTAAGAAGATTAAATAATTAATTGTCAGAAAAAATTGAAATAAGTGAAAATGACATTTCAAGAAATAGGAGTTTTAGTTGCCAAACTCTGATTGAAGTTTTTTAAAATAGATATAAGAAATAAGGTCTGTTAATAGTTAATATACTATTTTGTTAACAAATGCCAAGTCTATAGTCTTAAATATTATTTATAAAAATTCCTGTCTTGAAATTTGATCTTTTGGTCACTTTTCGTCTTTAAAAGCCATAATTGTAAAGAGTGTTAATAAATATTTATTCATAATATATTGTAGTGTAACCATTTTCCAATCATTCTATACAAAAAAACAAATCTCCCATTCAAAAGCTGTAGTAAGACTCTGGGAAATGTTAAAAAAGGTGATGAACTATTAAGTAGTTGAGTTAGGATTACAGATGTAGATAAGCACAAGGAGACCCAGAATGCCATGATGTTTGTTCTCTTGTATTCAGTATATGTAATTCAGACATCAGAAAGTGTTTTTAGGATTGGGTTAACTTTTATTGCAGTAGACATAGAACTTTTTACAGGTGACAAATCTTGAGTGTATTATTGTTGTTGTTGTTGTATCTTATCGAACTTGAAGTTGGACATTGGTAAACAGATTGTGGATTATCGTTGATAACTGACCATGTTACACGTTAAATGTTAGGCCGATGACTACCTGGTTATCTGAGGAATTGTATTATAGCAATCTGTGTTCTTTTCATTTACAAGTTTAATTCTTTTATTTTCAGAACCTCCAAGATGTTGGGAGGGTTGTTCATATACAACCATAAGGGAGAGGTACTCATATCTCGAGTATACCGTGATGACATTGGTAGAAATGCGGTGGACGCTTTCCGAGTGAATGTGATCCACGCTCGGCAGCAAGTCCGCTCTCCAGTCACTAACATTGCTCGTACTAGTTTCTTCCATATTAAGGTAATAAAATAATGAAAAATGATTTGATTAGGTATTTCCTGTATTGTGTATATTTATGGGCAAACTTAGTTTCGTTAAATAAAGACGTGTAAAGTATAGAGAATGCAAGTAAATTAAAATGTTATTATATACCTTTAATTGTGTTAGTGATATGATTGTTGGATTTTCCATGTTACTAGTTTTAGTTACAAAGTGATTGTATTTTCAGAGAGCGAATATCTGGGTCGCTGCAGTAACAAAACAAAATGTCAACGCTTCGCAAGTTTTTGAATTCCTTCTGAAAATGCTGGAGGTAGGTATTGGCGCTCTTAAGGTAGCCCACAACAAACATTTTTGTAACTGCATTACTTATGATAATAATTTATTTCAGTTTATATGAGTTTGGATTAGGAAAAATATTTTGTAATACATGATTGTCCAAATACAACTGTTTTTAGTAGAAGTAACATTTTGATATGAAGATTTGTTTGTCCATGTGCAAAAATTAATATAGGTTTAGTGCCCATTTGTCACTCTTTTATAGCAAATTATATTTTACAGGTGATGAGCAGCTACTTTGGAAAGATCTCAGAAGAAAATGTTAAGAACAACTTTGTCCTGATTTATGAATTGCTTGATGGTATGTTGTTCATAGTGCTCTTGTCTGAATGTATAAATTTAATACTTGGTGCATGGAAATAAGCTTTCGTCCTTCAGAATATGAGAATGTTCATTAAACATAGGTAGAAAAACTTGGTACTGGAGGCAGCAGTCTGTCCACACAATATTGCTGGTTTAGCAGTTACATCATCTTTTATTGTGTCATTCTCCTACCATGATAAAAACTTCAGGAGAGCAAGTGACTCTTTTTTTTTAATCCTGTTTATTAAAGGATTTTGAGAAGGAGTCTATCTTTCTATCTTTCTCCAAAAAATACTCAGTGGCTCTCACTTACCCTGTGCTGAGCCATAGCTTATGTCCCAGTCTTTTTCTTTTCACTTAAATATTTAAATAGGTTCGTATTTGCATTATCAGTCAGCTCCAACCCCCTTCATTGAAATAGGTAAATGTAACTGATTCTTGCTTGTCATGTTGGTAAGAGCCAAATATTTGATGTGCAGATTTCATTACATGTAATCGCTTTTTCTCTTTTCCAGAAATCCTGGATTTCGGTTATCCTCAGAATACTGACACTGGTGTCCTAAAAACTTTCATTACTCAGCAGGGAATAAAGACAGCCACAAAGGAAGAACAATCTCAGATTACTTCACAGGTATGCATTAATTAATTTCAGCCAATACATCCACAAATTGAGTGTTACTGGTTCATGTTGTGGAAATTGAGTTTCGTTAAGTGAAAAGGCATGGAAGGTCTCTAATGTGCTTAAAATTATGGAGATCTGTGTTGAGTCTAATAATGAATGGTCTGTCAGGTCACAGGTCAGATTGGATGGCGCCGGGAGGGCATCAAGTATCGTCGCAACGAGCTCTTCTTGGATGTCATTGAATATGTTAATTTGCTGATGTCTCCTCAGGGTAAGCTTGAGAATTTTTAATATTATATGCTTCAGAATGCAGGATATGGAATATGTAGAGCCATAACTCCTAGTGAATGAAGACTACACCCACCACATACATACATACATACACACACACACACTTGAGAGATTAATGGCATTTGGCATAGGGCATACTGAATAACATCATTCTATTGCTTATTTATGTAGTTTTGACTGTGTTTTTCAAGATGCATTAAACATTATAGAAAAGTTGCATGCTATTCATCTTTGTGGTTGAAAACTTGGTCATTTAAAAACTAGGACTATATACCCTCACAAATGGCTGCTTGAGTGTGACAAACTCTACTTTGGTACTGTATTTTGTCCCCATAAATATAAAAGGGTTATTGGACAGTGTTCCAGGATTGTATCAAGTTGGCAGACTGGAGAATAGGTGATTGATTGATTTTTTCTTCTAATATTGATCATTTATCTTTGTGTTTGTTAACAGGGCAGGTGTTGTCTGCTCACGTAGCAGGGAAGGTTGTGATGAAGAGCTACTTGTCAGGGATGCCAGAATGCAAGTTTGGCATTAATGACAAGATTGTCATGGATGCAAAGAGAGGTTAGTGTTTTCTGTTGTTTATGAATAACACTCGCTGTAATGTTTGTGTTGTGTGTTGATGAATGCATTGTCAGTTCATGTAATGCAGGATGAAGGAATAATACATTTTTTTATTTATAATTTTATACTGCAAAAATGCTGTTATATATTGTGGTAAACGACAGGATGCCAACAAATCCAATTTAAAGGTAGTAGACGGTATAAGTCAGAATGAATGATACAAGCTCTTCATCAGAATGTTGTAATTTTGATGAAGATTGTATCTAAGTATTAATTTACCTTTTATTATGGCATTATCCTTACTCATTTACAACTCTTTCTACGTTTGCTCAAATTTAAGAATGACTCTGGAGATATTGTAAATTTACAAGATAATGTTGAGAACTAGTTAGTATGGAGATGGAGAGAGAGTGATAAAGGTTATTGCTTCTTGAAAGATATATTCAGGAAAACGATGCTCAAAATGCTTAAAAACTTTCAGAAAAGACCAGAAATATTTAACGGCAAGATATGTAATGAATACTTTGGTACTTGGTAAGGTAATATTTATCCTACTTATGAATGTTGCGCAGCGATTACTGTATTGCACTTACAGTGGCTACAACAGTAAATAGGATTTACTGTTGATGGTATAAAAGGAAGAAAATGCATTCAGCAGCACTGCATCTGTTAATGCCCTCCATCTTTTTGGCTTTGCACCAAAGTTTCTTCTTCTTCTTCTTCTTCTTCTTCTTCTTCTTCTTCTTCATTTTGTATATTTTTTTCAGTTTTTGATAAATCTCGATATATTTGTTGATGCCTGGAATTATGGAAATATTTTAATAAGCAAATTTTATGGGGTGACTTTATTTCCTCCAAGCAGGGAAACTCCATTGTAATTTCTCTGATCAGACAGAAGTATGAGATGCTTAATACTGTTCAGTGATTTCGTTTTTTGATTTACAATGGGTGGCCAGATATTGAGCCTTCCTGTGTTAAGAATTGTGAGACAGATACTACTTCATTTTTAATACAACTCTGAATTAGAAAAGAACCAGTAATTGGCAATAAAATTTACCAAGATATGATATAATTCTAAAAGTAATAATATAGTTAAACATTCGATCTATATATATTGCCAGCAATAGTGATTTACAACACTATAAAGCTCAAATCATGCTAAGCTTAACATTTACATTAAATAGTTAGAGATTCTCAGCCAAGTTGTAATTTTGCATAAACTTTTAGATCAACAAGAAATTTTACAGCTTTGATTGTAAACAGACAAGTAAGTACTCAATTTTGTATTGCAGTTTTATTCTAAGTGCTTTAGCTTAGCATGGCATTGATTTCTCATAGAATGAAAACAGTGTATATAGATACCCAATAAAGAAGAATAAAAATATCAGTACGGTAAGCAAGTATTTTCTCAACAAAGCCAGGACACGAACAGACAGACTAATCTGCTGGTTGAATACCACAGGTTCAGGCGATGAGAGTCAGCGATCGGGAAAGACCAGTATTGCCATTGATGACTGTCAGTTCCACCAGTGTGTGAAGCTGTCCAAGTTTGAGACCGAACATTCCATATCTTTCATCCCCCCTGATGGCGAATTTGAGCTGATGAGGTAAATCTCCCTTTTTACTTGTTCGAATTTGTAAAGAAGACTCGTAAGGGGAATTCTGCATGCTGGCTAATAGAAATAGGTTGTGTGTGAGATTTCCTGGAAAGGAAGGGGTATGGAATATGATTTCAAGACTACTCTACTTTAGCTATTTCTTTCAACTAAATGTGCATTTAAACTTTAGGGCATGTGTAAGTTATAAGGATATTCAGACACTTAATATATTGTTGACCTAAATCTGCACATCCTTTTCTTGATTCATGTTAAAAGTTACAATTAAGTTTGATCTCGGTGCATAATATTAGAATTACTCAATTGTAAAAGAAAATTATTAGATTTATATAGAACGCAAATATTTTGTTATCTTCTCTGTCAGTTTTACCCTCATATCTGATGGAAATTGTGCATATGTGCAATAGATTTGGCTCTGTAGAAATTCAGAATTCAAGTAAGGGATTAATATTATCATTGCCTAATAAGCATACCTTTACACATAAATCATGTCATTTACAGGTACCGCACAACGAAAGATATTTCCCTGCCGTTCCGAGTGATCCCCCTCGTTCGTGAGGTCGGACGCACCAAGATGGAAGTGAAAGTAGTCATCAAGAGTAACTTCAAACCCTCGCTCTTGGCTCAGAAGATTGAGGTAAAGAGATTCAGAAGTTCATTTTTTTCTTTTTAATTAGCCCTTTATAATTAGCCTTCATAATTAGCCCTTTATAAGCATTCTGTGAGATGAGGTGTGTGTGTGTGATTCAGGAGAAGGATAATAGTTTCGGGCAAGGGATCATGTAGGAGGGCATCTTTTTCATACTTTATTTGATCTAATGGCTCTTTTTAAGTTTATAAAGTTGGAATTTAGGGTAGTTTATGTTCCACACTGAAGGAAAACCTAATCAGCCTCTTTCTACTTAGGTGCGCATCCCAACTCCTCTGAATACTTCTGGTGTTCAGCTCATCTGTATGAAGGGGAAAGCTAAGTACAAGGCTTCTGAAAATGCCATTGTTTGGAAGTAAGTGTCAGGATATATATATATAACATATATGTATATATATATGTATATATATATGGATATATATGTATAGGTATATGTATATATGTATAGGTATATGTATATGTTTGTATATGTATATATACGTATACGTTTATACACAAATATATGTATATGTATGTATATATGTTTATATATATGTATATATATGTGTGTATATATGTATATATATATATTTTTTTTCTTCTTTCCTTTTTTTCTTTTATCTCCCCTCAGATTCCGGAATGGAATGGGGATTGACATTGCTTTAATTCTGATTCAGGAGGAAAGAACACCAGCAGTTTAAACTCGTGCTAGTAGTTTCTTTCTTGATTAAAATTTCCTTGAATAAATCCTCTGCCTGTGTCTGGGTACCTATTGCAAAGAAATCCTATTCGCTGTTTTTCAGGATCAAGAGAATGGGAGGAATGAAGGAATCCCAGATATCTGCTGAGATTGAATTGTTGCAAACTGATACCAAGAAGAAGTGGACCAGACCTCCCATATCCATGAACTTTGAGGTAAGTTTTTTTGATACAATGCTGTCGTGGCAGTTTCTTTTTTTAGGCTTAGATGAAGGATCTCTTTAAACCATACCTTGCTGTAATTTAAATGTTTGGGATTTCTAAGCAATAGTTGATATTTTGTGTGAATGCTTGCTTTTGCCTTGTAAGAGCAGGCCAGGGACTTCAGTAGAAGTGATTTACCTGGATTTTATGGAATAGAACTTGTTAGTCATTGAATTTTACAATATGTAGCTCTAAATTTATATATATTTTTATATACTAGTCGATAAGCTAAAATGATAATTGCTAAAACAAAGTGTAAAGTATATGGTATTCTGGAAAATCCAGGTGTGAACCTAAAAGAAGTATGGTAGGTAATTTGGTAGCTTTCCAGGCATTTTCTTGATACCAAACAAAGTTAACTGTTTATGGAATTTATGTATTGTTATTTATTTGGTGCACATTTGATTCCTCCTTATTGCTTTAATCATCTCCATAGTTGTGAGTGTGTAAGAAACTATTGGTATGTGTATAAATGGAGGGTACACTAGGTTAAGACTAAAGATTTAACAAGTATTTATTACAGAAAATCCAAGTTCACAGGAGCCAGTGAAAGTGTTGAAAAGTTTTTTTTTCTCTGGATATCTCTTTCTAAAAGATGTAATAAAGTTACAAACCAGACTTTTAATTCTGTGTTGTTTTTAAGTAAATTTCGTTCAGGCTTGATTATGGTGCTGGTTATAAGCATTATTATAATTTCATTTCCAAAAGGTAGTATGTAATTCGGCCAATGAAATTAACCTTATCGTTTTTTGTTTTTTCAAGTAGCAGTGATTGTTGATAAGACTTTTATGCTAGTAATTCATGTTTGCATATTGCCTTTTATTTAGTAAAAAACGTAAGCAAGTAGCTGTGTTAAATAGGCACATCAGAAGTTGAAGATCCAGTGTTCTTAGAATTGAAGGAAATGTTGATTTCTCAGGCAAAATACTATTGGCTAAGTTTCCTGGTGGTTTCCAAAGGATGAAAATGATATACCATGACAGTTAAAGGGGGAGAAATTATGAATGAAAGATGTCTTTAGTTATGTTCAGATCTTAGGCAGCACCATCTGGAGATATTGCAAAGCTAAAGGCAAGTACATAAGATTTGCAAAATGCTGACAGTAAGTAAAACTGTTTATGATATGATGATCATAAAGTCATTTGCTTTTGTAATTTTCAGGATAGTGAAATACAAGATGGTTCATTAGTAAATTACAGTATATTATTAACATGGTCCTAAATTATATTGTTCGTCTGATTTAAAGTTAGAGATGATATGCCAAATTTTATACGTAACTGAAAAAGTGACATGCGCAAATGTGTTTGTATGTGTATGCATTCATGGACGCATTTGTTTTTGTTGTCAAGTAATTAATTGGATTGTGGATGTTCACATATACACACTTTACTATACGTGTTTTTAGTGTTAATGTGATATTTATCGTTTGTTTTATGTATAAGTGCATGTTTCTCTACAAGTTAAAACACTCAAACACTAATGATTTGAAATGTAAGTATTATGTTCTTTTGTTAATTTTATGCATGCTAGTAAGTTGCTAGTCATAATATTTTGTCTGATTTATAGATTAGGCTAATGAATGTGTTTGCAGGTATGTAAATATTTATTTTTAGTTGGAAATTAACACTGTAGTTTTTAGGCATGTTGAATTCATACAGAGATTATTAGACAACCATTTTGTAGTAAAATAAACTAAATTAAGTGAAATGCATTCCCAATTCATAATTTTTTTTTTTTTTTTATCTAAAACCATAGTTCTAACAATCAGCTGGGAATGCAAATATTGTTAGTAGACCTCAAACTAATGAATATTCTTTTTTTTCTTTCTCCCCCCCCCAAAGGTACCGTTTGCCCCATCTGGCTTCAAGGTTCGCTACCTCAAGGTGTTTGAGTCGAAGCTCAACTATTCTGACCATGATGTAATCAAATGGGTGCGCTACATCGGACGGTCGGGACTCTACGAGACCAGATGCTAATGCCATGTAGCTTGGTTTATGTCGAGATCAGTAGTTCATGGTACTCTGCAGCATTGCTGTTATATTTTTTATTTATTTATTTTTTTATTATTATTATTATTATTTTTTTTTTTTTGAGATAGGTATTTGGCTAGCGAGCTATTCCATTTATTATTTGACCATAATTGAATGAGTTATAAGTCACCTATATCTCTTTTTTCGTGCTTTAGGGACAGAACAAAGTAATTTACCATTGATGTCTAATCACATTGTATCAAATTATTTTGTTGTAAAGTATCCGAAATTTCTTTTGTTGGTAAATTAGTGGTCACACATTTTCTTTCTAGTATTGTAAAAAAAAAAAAATTAGCAGATTGAATATCAGTCAGTGATAGATCAGATAGATCATATCAAGAGTGAAAGTTGTCATTTACTTTTTTTTTTTAGGATTTTCCGAAGTTGTTAGCCAAGTTTAAACTGACGTAAGATGTGTTCACCGAGAACAATAAGAAGATAGGATTAGAGGTTGTTGTTATTAGTAGTTGTTCATTAATTGCATGTGTAAATATATATAATATACATTTATTTAGTCATTTAATTTTTATTTGAAAACTATAGGTTCATTTATCAGTTATAACAATACCAGTGTAGAATTAGCCAGTGATGTTGATAACGACTATGGACATTCCCCCCCCACTTTTGTCTAGCAATTTTTCGTTTTGTTTTGTCTTTTCCCTTCTGTATTGTCATGTATCTCCGTCATCATAGTGTGGAGGATGTCGCATCCACAGGTGTTCCATGTTTATATGGTAAGGCAGTGATAGGTGTGAGAAAGATGGTGGATTTTGCTAAATGACTTTGAAAAAGTGTTCTGTCAAAAATAATAGAAAAAGTCTGATATTGTTGTTATGTTTTGTCTGTTTTTGTTGTTGCTACAGTAAACGTTTTGGAAAATGGAAATTTTTAATCATATATGTTTTTTTTATTTATTTTTTTAATTTTAAAAGATTAATATTAATATTCAATGATTGGAGGGAGAAACACATTTGATCAACATCTTGAAAGTTACACTTTGATTTTACATAGCTTGGTTACTCCCAAGATTTATTTACATAAAAGTCTCTGTTGCATGTGTTTTAATTTATATTAATTGCTTTCTAACAGTGGGCAAAAAAAAAATACTTTCCAATCCTTTTCATTGGGCTTTAAGGCATCTTCTCCTTAACATTAGATTTTGAAAATTATTTATTAATTTTCTTTTTGTTTGTTTATTTGTTTTTCTTCTTCTTTTTTTTTTTTTTTTTTTTTTTTTTTTTGCTTTGGCATGGTAAGACATAGCTTTGGTGTAATGTGACTAAAATTATGAGCAGTGGAAGTTTGGCTGATATCTTTTTAACAGGTAACCTCTCTACTCTCTGTTGGCCAGGCAGTTTTTTATCAATTCTTAGTCATTATTATTATCATTACTATTATTATTACTGCTATTATTTTGATTTCATTAATTTGAACAAGAATGAACAAAAGAGTAGATTTTAGAAAAAAAATTGAAATACAAAAGACTAGAACCTTTTCTAAATGCATTTTGTAAGATTCATCATACAAAACGGTTATATATATCATTATTTGACTTTAGTGCCCGTGAATCAGAATTCAGGGTTGATTATACATTACTTGTTACTTGATAATTCCAATAGTTGCAGCAGTTTGTTATGAAATTTTTCTCCTCTGATAAGACAAAAGGAAAAAGTTGCATGGTTCTTGCCTGGTCAGCATGAATTCTGCCAAACTGTCGAGTCCCGGCTGGCCGATGTTGTGCGCCCAGGTGATGACATCATGGTCTATTTAAGTTTCAGGATGGCAATGATTTTTATTATCATTATGATGATGATTATTATTATAATTATTACTGCATTTTCCAAAATTGCCCCCCGCCCCACCACCACCACCACCTTCCAAGTGTGTTGATTCATCTCTTCTCTCTCTTACGTGTGGGGTTGGCATAACCTGGCTCGTGACCCCCCCCCCCTTTTTATCCCACTACCATCACCACCATGTTTTGATGGAGCTCAGCCTTGATTTACAACCGCTGGTCATGTAGTTTTAGAGGAACAAAAGTACTCCTCAATGTCTTGTGCCTTTTATTATGATCCTTAATGTGGTGATGTAACAAAAGTCTGTGGGTTGTGATGACTTTGAATGTGCAAATTTGTTATGCTATAGATTTGGAGGGAAGGTTTCCATGGAATTAAAAGACTATTGATTTTATTCTAGAAGTGTGATCTGAGTCTTTTAACAAAAAATAATTTTAAGTTCCTATCTCTAAGAAAAAATATGGATGATGTTTTGGGAACTTGACAAAATTATTGTATGATAATATTGCTAAAGGGGTATTGATAATTTTGTAAGTAACGACTTCTAAATCTAGTAGTATTATTTTACTTAATTTTCTTGCATTTTCTGTGAAATCTTATGAGTCATTTAATAATATAAGTCAATATTTTGGCTATAATTCAGAATGTTTCAATATTAAGTAATAGTAAATTCATGAGAAATGCTACATTTGTATATAACAAAATGATGTTCCTTTTCAAATAGAAGTACTACTAGTTTTATGATGAACAAATAGAATTAAGAGATAACTGTGATCTTACCAATTATTTCTGAAAAAAAGAAAGCCAGGATATAAGCAGATGTTAAGCGAACAAGTGAATTACCGTATCAGTTTTCTTCAACTAGAACTTGTATATTGAGCGGATGATTGATCACCTAGATTTTACACGAAGAAGAATGCCAAGACAAGTGTATGACCTTGACTAGATAAGTCTTTTCTCTTGAAATTTGATACAAAAGTGAATTGCAAATTTTCTTTCATTAAAGCTTTGATACTGAAGATGTACAATGTTAAGTAACAATATGAAAGAATGTTGCTCATTAGGGTCAAATGAAATTAGATGCATTAGTAAAGTAAAGAAAGAAAAAAAGAAAAAATCTAATTAAATCTCTGTAAAAATCTTTGAGAAATACTTTCCTCTGGAAATGTGTTTACTAATTTTTAACTTCTCGATCAAATGCTACAAAATTATATCCTCTGACTGGTGTGGCTTTCTCTTTCTTACTAATATAAATACTAATAGGTAATTAGGCAAACAGGTAGACTTGGTGTTTGCTTTGCATGGGAAATTCTTATTAGTGGAGAGACTTGCTTTTTGAAATTTAGATCATACTGTCTCGTAAGGAGAGGCTGATTGTAGTTCTGCTTTAATGGTTACAGAAAATATATCCATAGCAGTCCATACTTCCAATCTTTTATATATACAGATGTAATATAATATGACATAAGGAATACAAGGACAGGCAGACCCAACACAGACAAGAACTCAGATTTACACACCAATATTCAGTATATGTACATTTATTTATTTTAAAGTCCTCAGCTTATGAAGTTTGCATACATAAACAAAACAGCCATGGCAGAATGTAACACAAGACATAATCATCCACTGTACTCATTTCAGGAAACAAGATTTTCTGTCTTTGCTGTTACTCATAATTTTTCCCCTTTCGTTTTCTTATTTCTACTTTTAATATCTTGGTGTGGTATAACCAAGCATAGTATATGGACAAAATCAGCAAGTTAATTATTTCTGTATGTTCTCTATGAATAGTGTTTGTTTGATCTCTTAAGTAGTGTCATTTTTCTCACAGCTGGGACTAGTCACGGATTTGAAAAATAATTTGAAAGGGTGTAGTGAAAAAATGATGTTCCTTTTCAAATAGAAGTACTACTAGTTTTATGATGAACAAAATAAATTAAGAGATAACTGTGAGCTTACCAATTATTTCTGAAAAAAAGAAAGCCAGGATATAAGCAGATGTTAAGCGAACAAGTGAATTACCGTATCAGTTTTCTTCAACTAGAACTTGTATATGAGCGGATGATTGATCACCAAGATTTTACACGAAGAAGAATGCAAGACAAGTGTATGACTTGACTAGATAAGTCTTTTCTCTTGAATTTGATACAAAAGTGAATGCAAATTTTCTTTCATTAAAGCTTTGATACTGAAGATGTACAATGTTAAGTAAATACTTTCCTCTGGAAATGTGTTTACTAATTTTTAACTTCTCGATCAAATGCTACAAAATTATATCCTCTGACTGGTGTGGCTTTCTCTTTCTTACTAATATAAATACTAATAGGTAATTAGGCAAACAGGTAGACTTGGTGTTTGCTTTGCATGGGAAATTCTTATTAGTGGAGAGACTTGCTTTTTGAAATTTAGATCATACTGTCTCGTAAGGAGAGGCTGATTGTAGTTCTGCTTTAATGGTTACAGAAAATATATCCATAGCAGTCCATACTTCCAATCTTTTATATATACAGATGTAATATAATATGACATAAGGAATACAAGGACAGGCAGACCCAACACAGACAAGAACTCAGATTTACACACCAATATTCAGTATATGTACATTTATTTATTTTAAAGTCCTCAGCTTATGAAGTTTGCATACATAAACAAAACAGCCATGGCAGAATGTAACACAAGACATAATCATCCACTGTACTCATTTCAGGAAACAAGATTTTCTGTGTCTTTGCTGTTACTCATAATTTTTCCCCTTTGGTTTTCTTATTCCTACTTTTAATATCTTGGTGTGGTATAACCAAGCATAGTATATGGACAAAATCAGCGAGTTAATTATTTCTGTATGTTCTCTATGAATAGTGTTTGTTTGATCTCTTAAGTAGTGTCATTTTTCTCACAGCTGGGACTAGTCACGGATTTGAAAAATAATTTGAAAGGGTGTAGTGAAAGATTCTGTAATGAAACAGTATTGTGTTCTCAGCTAATTTTCTTGAAATAATGAAGACAGAAAAGACATGAGTGAGAACGACCAGTTTCACAGGACAAGTGATGTAATTGATGCATTTTGATGGTTTAATTTCTAACAAAATTCATGTGATGTTATTCTAATGGAGATGAAACATGGAAATGTATCAGTTACACCTCTTTTTGTGGAGTTAGTCATTCTCAGTCATATCTCTTCCACATTTGTCACAATAAAGTCTGTTATAAGAATCACATCTTTAATGTTTTCATGAAAATTAGTGAAATTGAATTTTATTTTGATACAAGTAATTGGTGCCCTTTAGTTACCATCTGTAATTCCCTTCAGGAAGTAAAGGAAAGGTTACTGATAAAGAGTAAAATTAAATGGACTAGATACATGGTCATGCTAAGCTGAATGAATAAATGAATTTTCTATTACAATTTTATAAATCTGATGTCTTTATAAATAGCCTGGAATGAAGGTTTAATTCTGAGGCGACAGCAAATTTTCATAAAACGGAACTAATGCATTATGAAACAGAAAAAAATAAATAAATAAAAAATAAATAAAATAAAATGAAATAAAATAAGGTTGATTTTAAATCTTTTATATTTTACAATATGCTCTTACTTCCAACCAGTATTGTGCAGAATAATATGTCTTAACGTCTCAAAGGGTCTGCAAACATAGAAAAACGGTAAATATCCACTTGTCTGGGCGTTATTACATTTCCCTTTTTTGCGTTGTTCAAAGAGACTATATATTTAATTCACGGGGTTCTGGTTTGTTTTATATCATGTTAGGAATTCTAATAGTAAGAATACGATAAAATCCTTCCCGTACACTGAAATAATGCCAGGTTGAACTCTAGTCCATTTTTCTTGGCTTGAAACTGAAAAAAAATATATATACGGGTCAGCCGTCGCTTCGGAAAAGTTCCTGACGTGCCCTTCCGTGGGCCAGCATAATAATAATAATTAAAATAATGATAATAATAATAATAATAATAATAATTTCTCGTGGGTTAAGAAGGGGCAAGATCTTTACTTACTGACAAATTTGTTGTTCCTAAAAAAAATCATTTGTATTATTGCATGGCTAAGATAATGCCAATATCCATGACAGTGAAAATGCTACTACCATTTGAAAAGAACGATGGCTTTCGGATAACAGCCCGGGCCAATGACTTGTATAGACCTTGGTTCAGACTATACCCCTAGGCTGTTTTATTTTATACCCGGGGTATAAAATGGGCTAGGTCGGAATGTATCCCTTCCCTTTTGCATGTACCCGAATATAATGGCTGGTGTAAAAAACTAGTTTCGCAACTGCAGGCATTCCTTGTGCATTGAATTCTACAGACCACCTTATGAAACTCAAATCTGAAACATTTATTATGATTATGATAAGAGTAACAAATATTATTATTATCATTATTAAGAAAGTTTTTTAATCTGGACAGTAACAAGTAAACGACATTCAAAACCATACTGAAGCGTTTAGAAATGTTTTGCAAATATAAGGGATGTATTTGTAAAGTGCATTTCTTTACTAATATTATTTTTTGGGACGAAGGCAGACAGACGACGTTACAGGTGTGACCTCCTTAGTTAAATAAAAAAAGTAATGAAATTGTTCATTCGTTTAAAAATTAAATGAGCCCCACAAATACATACCGCATATAACCAAAACGTTGTTGAATACTTTAATGGAGTTTGGGATGTTGTTTGAAGAAAACTTTCTTAATTAGGAATACTACTGATTATAGTGACAAATTTATTTTTGTTTTAGAAAGAACATACATATATGATGATCATAATTATTATATTATAATCATCATCATCATCATCATCATCATAATGGTGATGATAACGATAAAGATGATTATTACCATTATCATTATAACGATTATATCATCATTATAATCATAAATACACCCGTCTAACACACTCCTATCTGATGTCACAATCTGATCCACCCCTATGTTCCTTATGTAATGTTCCCCTTTCAATCGTACACATCCTATTGTCGTGCCCACGTTTTGAAGCAGCCCGTACCTCTGCTTTCCCCCACCTATCCTCCCTTCACCGACCTCCCAACCTATCAGACATCCTTACAGAATCCCACACTTTCTGCATCAACAACCTGTTCTCTTTCCTCAAACGCATACATATCCTTTATCTAACCTAACACCCGACCTTAACCCTTTGACTCACCAATTCCTTTGCCCAGCTTAGACAACTAATCACTAACTCAACCACCTTTCACTAGCATTAACTATAGTGCTAC